CTTCTGCCCAGAATCCGGCTCAGACGAGCAGAGGGAGAAAGTCTCTTCGGTTCCTCCCAAATGAGGGTGGTGGCGTCACCCAAACAGACCCCCCCTCCCCTCCCAAACTTGGCCTGAAGGGACCGTAAAGGCCGCGGCCGCTACAGCAGGGCGAGTCAGTGTCTTGCCATCCAAAACTCACTTTTTTCACACCCTTGCCCGGGAGCGCCTGTCCTGCCTCCCCCCACCCCGCCGCCGCCGCCTGCTCTTCCGAGCCAAAGCCTCGCCAACGGCCAAGAGGAGGGTCCCTGTCACCGCTCCCCCCCCTTTTTTTTCCTCCGCAGAGTCCGTCACCGTCTTTGCGGGGCAATGCTTCGTGAACGAGAAGGGCGAGGAGACGCTGGAGACGATGTGGCTTCTCAGGTCGGAGGAGAAGACCCACGCCGACGACTGGAAGGCAACCAGGTGAGCCCAGGGCGGCTAGAGCTTAGGACCGTTCCGGGAAGAGGGGCCGCCGCCAGTCCGGCTAAAACGGGGGTGTGTGTGTCCCTCCTCCTCCTCCTCCTCCTCCTCCTCGGCGCCTCCTTGCTCTCCCTCCTGCGCAACTTTCTGCTGGGTTTCGAGACATAGCCCTTGCGCGCTCGGGGCCTCATCCGGCAGGTGGCAGACCCTCCGCAGCCCCCTAAGAAAGCCCCGGGTGCCAGGATGCACTCCCTCTCCGCCCCGTTCCTTCCCCTCCCACACACACACACACACACACACACGTTTTTCACTTCGTTCGAAAACGGATCGCTTGGCACAGCCTCCCTCGCCCGTACAGCTTCCAGCAACGGAAATAACAGCCGTTGAGCCCAGGAGATGCCTCTCACTTCACGATGGACACACTCGGTTGGAATGCTGCCTCCGAGGTTTAGGATGGGGAGAGGGGGGCGCTGCGATGGGCAAAGCCATCCTCTACCCTACCCAAGGGGGGAATTCTCCGGTGCGGCTCCGCTGCCGTGGCCGGTTCCTGACAGCAGGGGGCGCCGGATCCTCGCTAGAGCCAGGAAGGGAGGGGGAACCGCCCTCCCCGCGGCCGCCGGGCCGAGGTCTCTCTGACGCGAGAGGAATTGACCGAAGCCGGGAAGCCCCTGACGAGTGGGGCTGCCCCAGAGGGCCGTCGCCCTGGAGGCCACCTAACGCCCACCCCGGGTGACTCGCCCATTCGGGTCCTGACATTCCATCTCGGAGCACCACCGCAAAAGCAGCGGGGTGGGAGGGGGCGGTGGCCCCAGCAGCAGGATGCGTGGGGGGGGGCGCGCAGGGCAGCCTTTCCGGGGAGAGTCTTGGATAATCAGCCAATGGGGGTGGGGGACAGGTGAGGAGGGATGCCCAGAAATGCCTCCTGGTGAACAAGGGGCCCCAGAAGCCAGGTCTCCATTACCTGGCTACACACACACGAGTGCCACACACACACACACCCCCGACACAAGAGATGGGCTATCAGCCCCACTGGGGGTCGCAGAGATGCCGGGGCAAAGGGAAGGGGTGTCGAGCTGCTGAAACCAACCCTACCGAGCAGGAGCCACTGTCCCCCCCCCAGCCTCCTTGCCAGGAAGTACTAAGCCTTTGTAGGCCCCCTCCCCTCCATACCCGGGAGCGCTTGCAGGTGTTCTGCTTGAGAGTCAAGGGGGGTGGGGGTGGCCCCATCATCCATGGTGTCAGAGCCACCGCCCGGAGTGTCCCCGGCTGCTTCTATCCATCCTGTGTGGGTTGCTGAAAACTATGCCCTGGGGCGGAGCGACTCTTCTGAAGCCTCCTTCAGGCCCCATGAGAAGGGTTGCCTTCATGGACCCGGAAACCCCTGCGGTTGCCCTGCCTGCCTGCCTGCCTTTGAGTTTCTTTCTCTCGCTTGTCTTTGCAGGGTTGGCAGGAATGTTTTCCTGCGCATCAAGTAACCGAAGCCACCACGAGGGACCTTGAGTGGCATCCACCACGCTTGCTGAGTGGCACCAGCTGCTGTTTCCTGGCTCCTCTCTCTCCTTCCCTCCCTCTGCCACCCCTCAGAAGTGGCTCCCAGCCTCTTTTCCAATAAAGTGCCAGCAATTCCACCCGCTGTGTCCGTCCAGAGTCTGTGACTTCCAGTTTTCTTCCTT